CCCCACCTCACCGAGCCCACATATGCCGCGCCGCGCGCGGAGAACCGTCATGCAAAGGTGCTGGTTGTTACGGTTGTGGGCCTGCGGCCCTCCTCAGCGCCCCGCCCCGCCCCGTCTGTCCCTCGGTGTGCGGGCGTGTGTTCCAAGTTGGAGGAGCGTGAAGTACAACAACTTCCTCTGTCAAGGCCCCACAACCCCCTCGGGCTGAGTCGTGTAGTACGGCGACGTCTGTTGGAAGCCGGCGGCGGCGGCACGGCGGCGTGGCGTGGCGGTGGTGGTGGCGGTGGCGGTGGCGCTGCCAGGGGGAGGCGCGAGGCGGGGCGCCCCGGCGCGGCCTGCCAGTTAGGGAGAACATGGCAACTGACGGAGGAGAGGCCGGAGGAGGAGGTGGAGGTCGTGTATGATGTAAGTGCAATGAGGCAGTGTCGTCGACCCCTGCTGCTGCTGCCGCGCTGCCGCTGCTGCTGCGGTTCCGGGCCGCGCGCGGCTCTGCTCCCCGACCCAGCCAGGCCAGACCGCGCCACTCGAGGCACTCGATGTCGCCGCCGACTAGTAGTACACGGCCTGGCCGCGGCACCGAGGGGAAGGGAGGACGCGCGGGTGACGACGAGGGCGGACCGCGGCGGGTGGTGGACACGGCGCTATGGGGACATGCGGGAACAAGTGTCCAGAGGGGCCCGGCGCCCGCCAGCGCAGGACTTGTGACCTCATTGCCCCCCCCCCCTCCATCACTCCCTCCGCCCACCCCTTTCCCGCCCTCTCCCTCTCCTGTAGAGGCCTACGAGATTTTTAGTCGTTCCCCTCGTGATGTCCATGAGATTTTGTGGACTAGGCGGCCCTCCTCCTGTAGCTCTCTACTCTGTTCTCACACTCCACATCCCGGTCCTCGTGTTCTCGCTCTCTACCCTTTCTCTTGCTCTCCACCCCTCTCTCCTCTCACCATCCCCTCCCGCTGTCCCTCCTCTCGCTCCCACTCTGTTGTCTACAGAGTTTGCGAGGTGTGATGTATGGCGTAAGGCGTGGTGGGGCGCGGCGTGGCCCTTGGTTAGGATTGGTAAGTACAGCAGGCGGGGCGGGGCGGGGAGGATCCTGCAGCGAACTTGTGCTCCAAGTTGTGATAAACGCCTAGCCCCCTTCCCCCCTTCTTGCGCTTCTAGCTGCGCGCTACCGGGGTGCCCC